CACTATAATAAAGGATACCCCAAAACCCCAAAACCCCAAAACCCCAAAATATCATTTTCGAGCTTAAATTCTTAATTCCTTTAATTATTGATTTAAATCCAATATTTTCTGATAAATATCAATTATCAAATATTCAACTCAATCATCATTATCATCATCATCAATTTCATCTACCTTATCATTTCCATCTTCTTTATCATCGTCACTCTCTTCCTTATCTTCATATATCGCCTTTTATTGTTTCAAAAAGCTAATCATCTCCTTAAATTTCTAGCTAATAGTTACTTTATCGTTTTAATTCAAAGCATTCTCTTTTGCAATCGGGTAATCCTTAATCATTTCATATAATCCAATGAAATCCTCAATATAATCTTCTGGGCCTATTTGAGTCTAATGGCTACTATAATAAAAAATTAGTCCCTATTCTGTGAAATCATCAAATTCTTCAGTATCTAACAAGGTCTGAAGATTTTTAATGTCTAATGCTAGTTTCTAATTGATCAAATTCTAGTTAACTGCATCAAGCTAAGGGAAGGGCTTTTTAAGATATAGCTAGTCACTTATAATCCTGGTAAGCATAGAAAAAGTTTTAAGATTTCTTAAGATAAAACTATCAATCTAGGCTTTGTACTAATCGATCTAACTAAGAATCATCAATGCTCTAACTAGCCAGTAGTAACCCTTAAAATTCTCAATCAAATATTTTCTACCATCTACTAAGAAGATGCTCTATTCTTAGTAAAATGTAAATTCCTTCAAAAATAAATTTAGGTCAGCTGGTTAGATTTTTAGCATTTATTCTATTACTGTATCATTCTGATAACTGTAATACAAAGCTAGTTCATAAAAGTAAAACAAGTAGGCAACTTCCTATGTTTTTTAGAGATTAATAGAGAAGGCAAGTAATTCCAAACTTTTTTCAAAAAGATAGAATGGTTCTTAACCATCTTCAAGCTATGACAAGTATTACTCATCAACCTCAGTCAGGTAGTCATTCTCTATTAAAGTGTTCATAACCATCCAGTAAGATATTTTGTTCACAAATTTATGGTCAATTTAGGTTTACAATCCTATAGTAAAAAGTCTCATGATGTTTTGAATGGCGTTCTAAACAAGGGGCTCATATATATCAGATACGTTATTTAAATTGGCTACTCCTTTAAAAAGATCTTTAATTTGGCACTTTGTTTAGTAGAGTATGAAATGAATGGTATAGCAGTCGTCATCTAATGCAGTAAGTGTAACTTAAAAATTATTATCACTCTCGAACTCTCCTGATGATGATGTATGAGACTCAGATTCTAAACTCTTATTTTCATTGCTACTATCTCCATCATCTGCAGCAACATATTGAGAAGCTTTATCTTGCATCAGTTTCACCTTTTCTGCTGAGTTGAATGTGTAAATAGTATTCAATAGTAGTATTCTAATGACTTCAGTGTCTGAAGGCGGACCAGTATTTGCTATAGATTTATTGCCATTATTATTTTCATCTTCATATTATTTCTTTTCTTCCTCTTATTCATCTTCACTTTCACTACTTGATTCGTTTAACTTCGTATTCTTTTTTTACTATTCTGTAGTAGGCTCCTCAAAATTAAATTAGACTTAATTCGTGGTAAAGAACATGTAGAAACTTTTCATCACGCTCATTAGTCTTTTACCAGGGTTATGTAAACCTCCTAGAGCAAATTAGTTAAAATGCTTCTTAATTATGACTTTTAGCTAATCTACTTTTGATTCATCTAAGATACTTAAGAATGTAGCTCTATCTACAATTTCACTAATTGTCTGCATATATTCTAAGTATTCATCATCATCTTCTGACTAGCCTTGATCATCCTACAATGTTGCTTTAGCAACTACCACATTAAAACCTCTAATCAAAGTCTCCAAAGAATTATCAATAAGAGCAACATCAAATTTCACTTGTTCTTCAAAAAGAATCATCATATTTTATATGCCATTGGGGAATTCAAATAATTCAGGATATTTATAACTGTAGTCAATAAACAATTCTAACAATTATTATGGAGTCATTTTCAAGTTTTCTTAAATTTATTAATCTGTCAGTTAACCTCCTTCCTTATCCATTTGCTAATCAGATTCAGATATATACTTGAATATTGCCATAGCCATTGCAGAAATAATGAGTTTATCCTCCTCAACTTTTTCCTAACTCTATGTAAATACCTTGCCATAATATAGCATCAAAGTCATAATATCACTTTTATCCAAAAAAGATACATATGTCTCTAAAATCCATATAGCCCTAAATCTCATTAGTTAATCTTCTTGTTAGTTTAATACCAAGTCTATTAATTAACTTTTACAAAAGTTTGCGATCAATAGCTTTTCATTTTCTAATAATTAACTATCACAAAGACTTAATACAAATAATGCAGCAGTTGCTTTTTCTCTTTCTTCTTAATTTCCTTTTCTATTTTAATTGAATACTTGAACATAGTAGCTCAGAAACTTGATTATAGCTTTTGGGTGCTTTATAATGTCATTTACAAATGCAAAGGCAAATTCTTTGTAATATCTTCTTGAAGCTCCATTCTAAAGTTGGAAAAATTCAGTAGTCTCATTCGACTTCTCAAGCAATTTCTATTCTCTATGATCTAAATTGAAAATAAAGAGAATTGCTGAGAATAGTTCATCTGTTAGTAAAGGCTCAATTAAACTAATATCTGCATTGTTGAATATTTAGTTCAGAGAGTCAAAGATATCAAACACTAAATCCTATTTGTGTCTGTAGAGATTGAGCCTCTCTTTACTATCTTAGAATGGCTTGATAATGCATTAAATCATTTTTATGATGTCTGCGCAACCCTTTCTAATTATGTCTTCATGCTGACTTGGAATTGTCATAGCAATATATGATGCAGAGTATGTTACTAATTTACAGGTAAATTATCCCATTTAATCAAATAGATGTATCAAAATAGGATGGCTTTAAACCTCTTAAGAAAGCAAGAATTCATTAAACTCTAGAGACATCTTGAGTGTCGTTAGAGCTGAGTCAGTTTCTATCAGAATTCCATCTTCTGATATCAAATCAGGATTTACTTGATTAAGAAAGAGGTCTAGAAATAAGTATGCCACAGTATTTCCAAGCAACATTATATACTACTGATCATCTTTACTTAATTCTAAGAACTTAGTCTTAGCTATATCAAATATCTATAAGAGAGTTTCATTGAATTTCTCATAATTTTCTCTAATGAAAATAAGGGAAGGTTCATCTGTTGTATGATTATTAAGGAATATTTCTGAGAGAGCATGACAAGCAAATATAAACTCAACTCTGTCTGAAACGGAAGTCATCTCTAAAATATTTACCCCAGTTAGTTTTGATTTGAGATATTCTAATTAATTTTCTCCGAAAAATGCCTTTGCTTAGGGAAGTAATCTATCAGCTGCTTTTTATTCCTCTTACTTTTTTTTTTCCTCTTACTTTTTAATCTTATCAGAATTTACTTCTTCCTAATCATCTTTCTTTTTCTTTTTAGATTCTGAATCAGAGTTATCTGATGAATCTAAGTCTGAATCTGAATCAAAATTCTCATCGTCATTAGAATATTTCTCAATTTCAAATAAGGGTTCAATGATTTTGGCTAGATGACCCGAATAAGATATGCTTGTTAGCCTGGACATAATTTTTGATTTGATGCTCTTGAATAGCTGGCATTATTCCTCTCTTGAATAATACTGAATGTCATAAGTAAACAGATTAATCAAGATGACATAGCATCCATGCTTTTTCTCTCTTAATTTTCTTAAATCATCATTAGTTAAGTATGACTCTTCGTAGCTCAATCCAATCTTAATTTCCTCATATCTTCCTACAATATCAAAGTATACATCAAGTGTTGCCATTAGTATTGGCTAATTCTTTTAAGATGTTAAATCTTAGTTTTCTAAGAAAAAGCTAAGCATATTTCTCAAAGCTACCTCTGCTTTAGTGGGATCCTATTTCATCTGATCAACATTAGCATAGACTCTATCTAGCAGTAAAAATACTTAGCTCTTATAGTGTTCATGATTTTATTCTGAGGCTGACATTTTGCTATTTATATTTAATAAATATTCAGATATATACCTTTTATACAAGAATCAAGCTAAATGGGGTTTTGGGGTTTTGGGG